CTCACCCCTTACTTGTGTGCTCTCACTTTTATCATGTGCTCATAGTCCAAACCCCTTGTTGTGTTTGCCCTTGATCTAATGTCCACATATGAGGGAGAACATACGATTTTTGGTCTTTTGGGCCAGGCTAACCTCACTCAGAATGATGTTCTGAGGCTGCTATTTCTCCATCATATATTTTTAGCTCCTTTGTCAAAGATAAGTTGCTTATAGTTGTGTGGCTTCATATCTGGGTCCTCTATTCTGTTCCACTGGTCTTCATGTCTGTTTTTGTGCCAGTACCATGCTGTTTTTATTGTTATTGCTTTGTAATATAGTTTGAAGTCAGGTATTGTGATACCTCCTGCATTGTTCTTTTGACTGAGTATTGCCTTGGCTATTTGTGGCCTCATGTGTTTCCATATAAATTTAACAGTAGATTTTTCAATCTCTTTAATGAATGTCATTGGAATTTTGATGGGAATTGCATTAAACATGTAGATTACTTTTGGGAGTATCGACATTTTTACTATGTTGATTCTACCAATCCATGAGCATGGGAGATCTCTCCACTTTCTGTAGTCTTCCTCAATCTCTTTCTTCAGAAGTGTATAGTTTTCCTTGTAGAGGTCTGTCACATCTTTTGTTAGGTTTACACCTAGGTATTTGATTTTTTTTGAGGCTATTGTAAATGGAATTGTTTTCATACATTCTTTTTCCGTTTGCTCATTGTTAGTGTATAGAAATGCTAATGATTTTTCTATGTTGATTTTATATCCTGCTACCTTGCTATAGCTATTGATGATGTCTAGAAGCTTCTGAGTAGAGTTTTTTGGGTCTTTAAGGTATAGGATCATGTCGTCTGCAAATAGGGATATTTTGACAGTTTCTTTACCTATTTGTATTCCTTTTATTCCTTCTTCTTGCCTAATTGCTCTGGCTAGGAATTCCAGTACTATGTTGAATTTCACATGATTCTTTCTGTGTCCTTTCTGGCCTAATCATTTCCTTCTCCTCAACTCTATCACTTGGCCTCAGCCCTTCCTCCCCTCTGGTTTTTTTTTTTTTTTTTTTTTTTTGGCAGTATTGGGGTTTGAACTCAGGGCCTTTAGCTTTCTAAGCAGATTCCCTACTACTTGAGCCATGCCCCCGGTCTATTTATTTATTTGTTTGTTTTAGAAATAGGGTCTCTTTTTTTGTCTCCTGCATATCTGGGATGACAGACCTGCACCATGACACCCAGTTTATTAGTTAAGGTGGGATCTCAGTAACTTTTTGCCTGGTCTGGCCTTGAACCACTGGTCTTGAACTGTGATTCTCTTGATATCTACCTTCCAAGTAGCTGGGATTAAAAACATGAGCTATGTCCCCCCAGCCTTGTGTTTTGTTTTTGAGACAGGTGCTACCCTTGGATTTGACAGTTCTCCTGCTTCTGCTTTCTGAGTAGCTAGGATTACAGATGTACACCATCATGGCAAGCTCTTCTTATAAGGACATCAATCCTCTTCTTATAAAGAACCAATTATATTGGATTAGAGCCCATTCCAGTGAATTCACTTAACCTAAAAATCCGCTTTAAAGACCTATGTACAAATGCAGTCACATTCTGAGGTGTGAATTTTGGAGGTGGATACAATTCAGCCCATAACATGCAGTCATTCACTGAAAAAGTAATAGGCAGAAGGCAAAGGTCTGGAATAATGACAAAGGATATTGGCTAGAAAGCTAACTAAGGCACTTGTGGGAGTTGAGAGGAACGTTCTGGAATCATCTGAGGTTGGAAATCAAGCCAAATAGCTGCATTATGATCTCCAGGTATAGAATCTGGAAAGTGGTATCTTTGTATTAACCAAGGGCAAGGGATCTTGGAATGTGAGAAATTATTTTTTCAGACTTTTGTGTTGTAATTTATGTTTAAAGAAATTAGTTTTTAAAAACACTTTTTCGGTCATGAGAAAACGGTCATGAGATTGAAAAGTTAAGTGAGGGCTTCAAACAGAGTGAGTGCGTTTCTTTTCCTTCTGCTATATGTGAATATAGTTCTGGTAACAACAAAGACTCCCTATATATGCCATTTTGGTCTGAAAGGGACTTGAATATTAAGAGTGCTTCTACTAATGTTGAATACTTCTGCGAACTTTGGTTATTGGATCTTACCTTATTTAGTGGGATTTACTTCTTTTACTACATGAGCATAGAGTTTTGCATAGTTGGGAATTTTTCTTTTCTTTTTTTTGAGGCAGCATCTCACTATGTTGCCTAGGCTGGCCTTGAACTTGCCTCTGCCTCCCAGTAATTAATTTTTTTCTTGATTTTTGGCAACCTTAAGTTCTGTTGGCATGGGACTGCTCAGCAGGATAGTGCTTGTCTGGCTTGAGTGAGGCCCTGGTTTTGGTCCCTAGTGCCACAAAAGAAGAACCGAAAAGTTTTGATGGCATGATTGCTGAGATTTAGTCATATGTTGCTTAATGTTGGTGATACATTCTGAGAAACAAATTGTTATCCATTTTGTTGTGCAAACATCAGAGTGTACTCACATAAACTAAGACGACTGTGGCACGGCCAAGTGATAGAATCTTATGGTACCAGCCTTGAATGTGGAGTCTGGCATTGAATGAAATGTCATGTGGCCCATGTCTGTATTACTTCTTATTTTGTTATTTTGTTTTGTTCTTTTGCCTCCCATCTTTTAAAAAAGACTTTCTCTCAGTAGGAAAATAAGTATGATTGATTATTTGAGATTTACACCTGGGAAAACCTAAGATATACTCTAAATGGTAAACACTCAATAAATGTTAGCTTTTGTTTTCATTATAAGGATTCCAGCTAACGAATAGCTCATTTATTTTAAGCAATATTCAGATTACTTAAAATAGAACAAAACATTGTGTGTCTCTTTGATTAAAATGGAATTTATATCCAGTAATAATATGTAGATTATTTTGCATATATGTATGTATGTATTTATTTTGCAGGGCCTCACGCTTGCTAGGAAAGGTGCTCTACCACTTGAGCCACTCCGCCAGCCAGAATCTTTACCACAGAGAGGTTAAGTTACTCTCTCAAAGCCACACAGCTACTAAGCAGAAGCACAGGCTTTGCCTGGGGTTTGAATTCAGGGCCTCCAGCTTGCTAGGCAGGTGCTCTACTGCTTGAGCCACTCCTCCGGCCCTTATTTTGTATTTTAGAACCCAGAATAATCAAGAAAAGAAATTTTACTTCATGATGAGGTTAGTCTTGGAAAAAAATTTTCTAACAGCATTAGCAGAACATTGCTCGTTCTGAGATGGAGGGGGAGTTGGAGTCTTTTTTTACAGTTCAGACGTAGATCCTGGTGTGTGCATTGTTACTCTAGGGCTGTCTTTATTGGCTCTCTAGTGTAGAGATGAGACTGTTAGTGTGTTCACACTTTTGAAAGATTTTAACATGACTTTGACCAGTGTATATAGTCACTTTAAACTTTTATTTTTGACCATATTACTTACTTGGATACCATTTTCAAGGAAGAAACCCATGTAAGCATACATTCTATGATTAAGCCAGTTCTTTGGAAGAGTGATGTTAGGAAGTCAGAGAGCTAGTTTAGATCTGCAAGTGCTCTCAACTTATGATGGGATTGTGCCTGGGTAAAGCCATTGTAAGCTGAAAACATTGTCAGTTGAAATGTGTTGAATGCATGTAACCTAGTTTGTGCACGGTGTACTGCAGACTTTTGGTGGTTTTCTCTCACAGTTGGGGCTAATTGGGAGCTGTGTTGCACTGCCACTGCCCAGAGTTTTGAGAGAGTCTTATCACATATAGCTAGTTTGGGCAAAGAGCAAAATTCAAAGTATGGTTTCTACTGAACGCATACAGTACTTATACCATTGTAAAGGTGAAAAAACTACTAATTGTGTGCGGTGGTGTGTACCTGTGCCCCCTAGCTGCTCAGGAGGTGTGGGAGGCAGAAGGATTGCTTGAGCTCAGGAGTTTTGAGGCCAGCCTGGGCACATAACAGGACCCCCTCTCTAAAAAACAAGAAAAGTATGAAGGAAAAAAATTAAAAAAAAAAAAAGAGGGACCCATTGTAAGTTGGGGACCATTGGTATGTTGATTTATTTGTGAGAGAGGTGTGGAAAGTAATAGGTTTTTAAGTTTTTTAAAATTTTATACTTGTAGATTAGGAACATATTTCTTTTTTAAAAAGGTTTAAGCTTTGTGGTAGGTAGAATTAAAAAGCTTTACAAGTGAAGCTAAAGCGTACTAAGACCTTTTCCTCCCAACCTTCTTTTTAATGTTTCCTTCCCTCTAATGTTTGCTCTTTCAAATTGGGTATTTCTCATGTAGGAATTCTGTGTATATTCCATTTATAGATCTTTATGTATATGGTGAGTATATTTTCCATCTAGTTTTTGGTTTATCTTCATTTATGATAGTTTTAGGTGTATTTTACCATCTTAACATTAAGTATAGAGGTGTTTTTCCTTTCTGGTTCTTAAGAGAAATTATTCTCCTGATTTTCTCTTAGTATTTTGAAAATTTATATCTTAAGGCCAGGTGTGGTGATATCATGTGATATCATGATATCATGATATCACATGCCTGTGATACCAGCTACTTGGGAGGCAGAAACCAGAGGATCATGAGTTCTAGGCCAGCAGGGGAAAGTTAGTGAGATCTTACCTCAAAAACAAACTAAAAACAAAAGGGCTGTGGGTTTGGCTTGGGGCCAGTACAATAACAATAATTAAAAAAAAGAAAAGAAAAAATAATATGTTCAAATATTAAGTTATCTCTTCTTAGTTTCTATACCTTTTTTTCTTTTCCAGTTGCATGGTGTATTTTTGGTGTTCCATTTTAAGACATAAGATATTTTTATAATGGTATTTACTGTGAAATGCATTGTGCCATAATCACATTTTAAGTCTATGAGTAAACAGATGATGGAAGGGAGATTTTTCTCCAGTGGGGGTAATGGAAAGTTTCTAAGAAGGGAAATGCTTATTATTGAATAATTTAATGTGTGATCCTTTTATTACAGGTATGGTGTAAGATATTTCTTCAAGATTGGGCAGCTGGTGACTTGGTATTTCTGATAGTCTTAAGCTGACCTATAGCCATAGAGAAACCTCACGGAGTTCCGTATTTTGTTTTCTGCTTTACACATTTCCTGACATCGAAGTTCAGCTTGCAACCATGTATGGAAGTGCTCGATCAGTTGGGAAGGTGGAGCCAAGCAGCCAGAGCCCTGGGCGTTCACCTCGACTTCCACGTTCTCCTCGCTTAGGCCATCGTCGAACCAATAGTACAGGAGGGAGTTCTGGAAGCAGTGTTGGAGGTGGCAGTGGGAAAACCCTTTCAATGGAGAATATACAGTCCTTAAATGCTGCTTATGCTACATCTGGCCCTATGTACCTAAGTGACCATGAAAATGTGGGTTCAGAAACACCTAAAAGCACCATGACACTTGGCCGATCTGGGGGACGCCTGCCTTATGGTGTTAGGATGACTGCTATGGGCAGTAGCCCCAATATAGCCAGCAGTGGGGTTGCTAGTGACACCATAGCATTTGGAGAACATCACCTCCCTCCTGTTAGTATGGCATCCACTGTACCTCACTCTCTTCGTCAGGCCAGAGATAACACCATCATGGATCTGCAGACACAGCTGAAGGAAGTGCTAAGGGAAAACGATCTCTTACGGAAAGATGTGGAAGTAAAGGAGAGCAAACTGAGTTCTTCAATGAACAGCATCAAGACCTTCTGGAGCCCAGAGCTGAAGAAGGAGAGGGCCCTGAGGAAGGACGAAGCTTCCAAAATCACCATTTGGAAGGAGCAGTACAGAGTTGTGCAGGAGGAAAACCAGGTCAGTTCTCTATGCACATCTGCTGTTACTGGCTGAATTCACGTATATATATAAAGCAAGCCATTCCTTTTCTTAGACTTTTCCCAGCTTAGTTCATTTAGTTTTCTTTGTCTTATTTATTTTAATCTTGTCTCTCAGCCTTTTACAGACTTGGTCCTTTGCCTTATTATTAGTACTTTTTTCTAGTGTTTGCCCTCGTATGTACTTGTTTCTTTTCCCTGGTTTCTCTTTCTCGTCTTATATTTTCTTATAGTATATATATATATATTTTTTTTTTTTTTTTCAATTTTTTTTTTTTTTTTGTGGCACTAGGGTTTGAACTCAGGGCCTCACTCTTTCTAGGCAGGTGCTCTGTCATTTGAGCCACTCCACTTTCACTCACTATACTTTCAGTTCTTGTGAGAATATGATTTTAGCACAGATTATCACATTTATTATCAAAATTATTTAGAGTATGTAACTTAAGGTAAGGTATACCATTAAGATGTTTCATAATAGCCGGGTGGCAGTGGCTTATGTCTATAATTCTAGCTGCTCAGGAGGCAGAGATCAGGAAGATCATGATTTGAAACCAGCCTGGGGAAATAGTTCTTAAGACCCTGTCTTGAAAAAACCCAACACAAAACAGGCCTGGTGGGATGGCTCAAGTGGTAGAGTGCCTGCCTAAAAAGTTAAAAAATCCCAGTACCATCAAGAAAAAGAATAAAAAAAGTATATCACACGGTAAATCAATGTTACTAGCTACATTGTTTTTTCTTATTTAATTTTTTTTGGGGGACTTGAACTCAAGGCCTTGTGCCCTAAGCAAGTGCTCTACTACTTGAGCCATGACCCCAGCCCTTTTTGCTTTTAAGTATTTTCGACTACACAAGACCCTTCTTGTGTTTATGCCTGGGCCGACCTGGACCAGGGTCCTCCTTTTGTGATTCCCACTGAGAAGACAGGCATATGCCACCATGCTCAACTTTTTATGGCTGAGATGGAGTCTCACTTTTGTTGCTTGGGATGGCCTTGAACCATTCTCCAGCTGATCTCTACCTTCCAAATAGTAGGATTACAAGTGTAGTTACCACCTGGCTCAGATATTTACTTAAAATTAGCTAATTTGAATACATAATGGGTTATATATTTATATATGAATTTAAATTACATATTTAGATAATTTCAATATATAATAGATATATTATTTTAAGAAGCTAAAGCTGGGTGTGATGGTACACACCTGCAGTCCCATCACTGGGGAGGGTGAGACAGGAGGATAATGAGTTCAAGGCCAGTGTGGGCTTCATAGTGAATTCCTGGCCAGCCAGGGGTTATATAAAGGCTCTCCACCCCAAAAAAAAAATACCCTCTTAGGAAGTTCTCTGAGTTTGAGTCATTAAGAACTCAATGTGAAAAAATAGGGTGGCTTCCACCCCCCCTTTGGTGGGACTGCAGTTTGAACTCAGGGTTTCATGCTTGCAGAGCAGGCACTTTACCATTCGAGCCACACCTTCAGACTCTCAATGTGAAAAATTAAAACTGAAATAAACCTCAATGATAGATCCTAAGCCATTACATCAGGCTACCTAAGTGGTGACTCAGATACATCAGTATCAATGGGTATATTTGTTTAAAAAATAGATTCCCAGGCCTTGCTTAATACCAACTAAGTAAAAATCTCAAGAGCTGGGGTATAGAACTTACATTTTTAAATAAACTTCTCTGGTAGTTCTAATGATAAACCAGTTTTGGGATCTTTAGAATTTAGTACATTCATCTTGCCTTAAACTTGTCTACTGCCCATCTGGCATAAAGAATTGTGATGGTTTTATATTGTCAGTTTTGAGCTCATATTTTCAGTTTTGCAGTGCTGGGGTTGAACCCAGGGCCTTGTGAATGCAGGGCAAATGCTCTAGCTACATTCCCGGTCCTTGAGCTCAATCATGAAAGAAGGGAAAAAACTCTAGGACCCATTGCTTAGTGCTTCTTGTCCTATTTTCTGCCTTGTTATACCTTACGTATGTGACGTAACTTTTGTTCATTATGATCATTGAGTGTGACAGTGGTCCTCAATAGATACGATATGCCAAGAACAACTGCGTGTTTAAAATCTTAAATATGTTTAGTTCAAAAGAGCCCTCTACATGATTTTGATATTGCCCAATCGTATGAATCATTGATACACAGGTAAATGTTGAAATGATACATGACAGTAGTATGGGGAAATACTTTTAATTGACATTTAGTTATCAGAAAGTGAAGCATAACACCAAAAATATTATTGTTTTGCAGTTACTGGGATTTGAACTCAGGGCCTCATGCTTGCTAGGCATGAATTCTACTCCTTGAGCCACTCCGCCAGCCCTGAAATAGTTTTCTTAAAAATGTAGTACATTGTCAGTTTTTATAGTTTGGTGTTGAATTAAAAATCTCAGAAAAGGAAAACATGAGTTTGTGTTCTTTAGTCTTGTGATGAAATGTGAAGATAGTGTAGGTCCTGGAAACCATGTATGTGTCTTAGAGTATTAGTTCCTGTTCTTTTTTTTGGGGGGTGGGGGGGGTGGACATTATGTAATTTTGGAGTATGTACTGGTGGTATATCAATGACCAAATATAAAGTCCTTTATTTTTATTTCTTTGTTTATTTAGACAGAGTCTCACCATGTAGCACAGGCTGGCTTTTAACTCTTTTTCTTCTTTTTTCTTTTCTTTTTTTGGTGGCATTGGGATTTGAACTCAGGGGGTCATGCTTGCTAAGGCAGGCACTTTTACCGCTTGGGCCACTCTGCCAGCTGGCCTTGAACTTTTAATATTCCTGCTGCAACCTCCTCAATTTTGGACTTCAGATAGGGGCTGGGAATATAGCATTGCTGTCATGCACAGCAGGGATTCCCTTTGTAAGCATCATACTGCATTGTATGTGATTATTCAATCTCAAATGTGTTGTTAGTAAAAATCACAATTCCACTGAACTGTAAAGTGACTAAGACAACTTATTATTAGAAATATCGTGGAAAAATTGTGCACGAGTAAACACTTCCTTTTAATGGCTGTACCTCCCTTCCATCCTCCCTCCCTCCCTCTTTTCCTTCCCATGCTGGCCTTCATTTTTTTTTTTTTTTTTTTTTTTATGGTACTGGGGTTTGAACTCAGGGCTTCACGCTTGCTTGGCGGGCATTTTACCACTTGAGACACTCTTCCAGCCATTTTTTTTGTGCATGTGTTGGATATTTTCAAGGTAGGGTGTTGAGAACTATTTGCCTGGGCTGGCTTCTAACCATGATCTTCTTGATCTCTGCCTCCTGAGTGGCCAGGATGACATGTGTGAGCCACTGGGGTCTTGCTGGCCTCCAGTTCTTGATCCTTCTGCCTGTACTTAAGGGTGCTGGAATTAGCTGGGCATTGGTGGTGCACGTCTGCAATCGTAGCTACTTGGGAAGTTGAGATTGAGAGGATCTAAGGTTCAAGGCTAGCCCAAGCAAATAGTTTGTGACACCCTATCTCCAAAATAACCAGAGCAAGATGGACTGGTACCGTGGTTCAAGCAGTAGAGTATAAAGCCCTGAGTTCAAACCCCAGTCCCACCAAAAACAAATTGCTGGGATTACAGGTGTATCCTACCATGTTCAGCTAAGGCTATACCTTTTAAGAATATGTTGACTCCGTGTGTGTGTGTGTGTATAAAAATATATAAAATTTAAAGTGGATTTGGGGTTGCTGGGTATATTATTGAATTAGCTAGCCACCAGTATACCTGTTTTCAGCTAATTATGCTGAAAACATAAGATGTTTTTTAAATTTATTTTTTTAATCAGGTGATTTGGGAATATCCATTTTATTGAGCAAAAAGTTATTAGCATACTTTTTTTTATTTTGAAATAAGTGAGGCATTTGTTTATGTGTGTAGTTTAGAAACTATGTGGAAAAAAACAAATGCAATATCCTTCCAATTATTAAGTTACATTCAAATACAAAATATTTGAAAAGACAATTGTGGGTACTTTTCACTTCAGTAGAAGAGAAACAGTCTATGGGATTTTCTTGCCAAAAAAACCATATGTGCTGAAGAAGGGTGAATACTGCTGTATCTAGATTCCGCCCCTTGCCCTAATTAAACACCAATGCTGGCAGGAATATATTCTTTCTGCACCCACTATAATTACCACACAATCCTAAAATTGTATAACTTTGGTCCAAAAAACAAAGGATGCAATTTTAAAGTAAAGTGAAACACTGCAATGAGATACAGAGACTGAGAATACTAATTAATAGATTATAGTCAGCCAGCAGTGAGCTCTAATTAAACTCTGCATTCATTATGTCCTCCATAGCTTTCAGAGGTCAGACATCTTCCACTTTATGAAGAAGATTGGTTTAATAGGAGTTACAGTAATTAAATAAACTTCTCTATTTCAGTTTGACACTGGGATTTGGGTCCATTCTAAATGTTTGATCTGATTGGACTACAGAGATCTCAGTCTAGAATCCTGTCAAAATGTGAAAATACTCATGCTTAGGATTGCCTGATACGCATTTTTTAAATGGAATGCTTATAGAAGATTGTTTCTAAAATAGAAATACCCATCTGTTTTTATGTCTCACATTCCTTTTGTTACTGAACTTTCAAAGAACTGGTGATTGGATGTATCTGTATATACTTCTCTCTGTTTCTCCCTGTTTCTCTCTCTCTCTCTCTCCTCTATTATAAATACAGAAGGCTTTTCCTTTTTTAAAAATTAAGAATAAGGAAGGCTTTTAGTGTATGTTTGTTAGAGAATAAAAATCTAGTTGTTAGCTTGGTAGAATTGCAGAACTTTGGATAAGTTATGTTTTTTGTTTTATTCTAAATAGCAGCCAACCTGCGATTGTTGTACTTCTTTCCTGATTATGCTTTGCAGCAGTTGTGTATGTTGAATTTAGGTGAATGCTTATTCCAGAGTATATTGGAGGTTTTTTTTTTCTCTTTTTTTTTTTTTGTGGTGCTAGGGATCAGACTCGGGGGCTTGTACATGCTAGGC